AGCATGTAGAAGGAAGGAAATAGGAATGATCAGAGCAGAAATAAATGACATGGAAACCAAAAAACAATTGAAAGAATCAATGAAACAAAGAGCTGGTTCATGGAAAAGATAAACAAGATTGATGGAACCATAGTTAGACTCACCAAGAAACAAAGAGAGAGAACCCATACACAAAATCAGAAATGAAAGAGAAGAAATAATAACTGACACCACAGAAATTCAAAGGATTGTTAACAGATATTATGAACAATTATACGGCAACAAATTCGACAATCTAACCGAAATAGACAAATTTCTAGAAACACATAATCTCCCAAAACTGAATCGGAAAGAGAGAGAAAACTTGAACAAACCAATAACAACAAAAGAAAATGAAGATGTAATCAAGACTCCCAGCAAACAAAAGCCCAGGCCCAGACGGCTTCACCAGGAAATTTTATAAAACATTCAAAGAAGAACTAATACCCATTCTCCTCAAACTATTTTAAAAAGTTCAAGAAGAAGAAAGACTTCCAAACTCTTTCTATGAGGCAAGCATAATTCTCATTCCAAAACGAGGAAAGGACACTACAAAGAAAAAAAACTGCAGGAAAATATCCCTGATGAACATAGATGCCAAAATCCTGAACAAAATACTAGCAAATGGAATCCAGCAATACATCAAAAAATTTATTCACCATCACCAAGTGAGATTCATCCCAGGGATGCAAGGCTGGTACAATATTCACAAAGCAGTAATGTGATACACCACATAAACAAAATGAAAGATGAAAGTCATATGATCATATCAATTGATGCTGAAAAAGCATTCGACAAAATCCAGCACCCATTTCTGATAAAAACGCTCAGCAATGTGGGAATAGAGGAATCATATGTCAACATAATAAAGGCCATATGTGAAAGACTTATAGCCAACATCATACTCAATGGGCAAAAATTAAAAGCATTTCCCTTAAGCACAGGAACAAGATAAGGAGACCCACTTCTGCCACTCTTATTTAACATAGTACTGAAAGTCTTAGCCACAGCAATCAGATATGAGGAAAAAATAAAATGGATCCAAATGGGAAAGAAGGTAAGCTGTCATTATTCACAGAGGACATGATACTATAAGTAGAAAACCCCAAAGACTCCAACAGAAATCTACTAGACTTAATAAATGAATTTGGAAAACTAGCAGGATACAAAATTAATGTCAAGAAATCGAAGGCATTCTTATACACCAATGATGAACTCACAGAAACAGAAACTAAAAAAGCAATCTCATTTACCATCGTGGAAAAATAATTAAAATACCTAGAAACAAACTTAACCAAAGAAATAAAGCACCTATTCGCAGAAAACTACAGGTTATTGAAAAAAGAAAATAGAGGAATATATAAAAAAGTGGAAGCACATACCGTGTTCATGGATTGGAAGAATTAACATCATTAAAATGTCCATATTACCCAAAGCAATGTATATATACAATGCAAGCCCCATCAAAATACCAACAACATCCTTCACAGAACTAGATAAAATGCTTCAAAACTTCATATGGAACCAAAAAAGACTTTGAATAGCCACAGCAATCTTGAAAAAGAATGACAAAGTAGGAGTAATCACATGACCAGATTTCCAGTTATACTACAAAGTCACTGTGCTCAAAACAGCCTGGTACTGGCACAAGAACAGGCCTATAGACCAATGGAACAGAACAGAAAACCCAGAAATGGACCCAAGGCAATATGCTCAATTAATATTTGACAAAGGTGGCAAGAGCATACAGTGGAGTAAGGACAGCCTCTTGAATAAATGATGTTGAGAAAATTGAACAGCTACATGCAAAAAAATGAAACTAGACCATCAACTTACACCATACACAAGAATAAACTCAAAATGGATAAAAGACTTAAATGTGACTCATGAATCCATAACAATCCTAGAAGTAAATGTAGGCAACAAAATCTCAGTCATCATACACAGCAGAATTTTCACTGATACATCACCTAAGGCAACAGAAACAAAGGGAAAAAATGAACACATGGCACTACATCAAACTCAAAAGCTATGCACAGCAAAAGATACAATCATCAAAATGGAAAGGCAACCCACTGTATGGGAGAGTATAATTGCCAATGATATATCAGATAAGGGGTTAATTTCCAAGATATATAGAGTGCTTATACAACTCAACAGAAGGAAAACAAAGAACCCAATTAAAAAATGGGCAGGGTAACTAAATAGACACCTCTCCAAACAGGACATACAAATGGCCAAGAGACATATGAAGAAATGCTCAACATTACTAATCATCAGAGAGGTGCAAATTAAAACATCAATGAGGTATCACGTCACACCTGTCAGAACGTCCGCCATCAACAAATCATCAAATAACAACTGTTGGCGAGGATGTGGAGAAAAGGGGACTCTAATACACTGCTGGTGGGAATGCAGACTGGTGCAGCCACTATGGAAAACAATGTGGTGTTACCTCAAAAAATTAAAAATTGAACTTCCATTTGACCCAGTGGTCTCAATTCTAGGAAAATACCCTAAGAAGTCTGAAACACCATCAGAAAGAATATATGTACCCCTATGTTCGTAGCAGCACTATTTACAATAACTAAGATCTGGAAACAGCCCAATGTCCATCAGTAAATGAATAGATAAAAAAGCTGTGGTACATATACACAATGGAGTATTATGCAGCTGTAAGATAGAAAGATCTCTTATCCTTTGAGACCACATGGAGGGACCTGGAAAGTATTATCCTAAGCAAAACAAGCCAAGCAGAAAATACATAAACCACATGATCTCACTTATTTGTGGTATATAATGAACATAACAGTCTGAGAAATAGGGTAGACCCAGATACGTGGAAGTAGGGTTCAGACTGACATCCCTTGGACGATGGGGTGGAGGCGGAGGGAGGAGATAAACCACAGAACTTATATGCATGTACGCATAACCAATGAACATGGACAACAAAACCGGGGAAAGGGTGGGGGAGATGGAGAGGAGAGTGTCAATGGGGTAAAAAATGACAAACATCTGTAATAAAAATATAATAATATAAAAAAATTTGTTTTAAATAAATATGAAACATATTGAAAATAAAAAAAGAAATTATTTATTACACACATATGACTTCAACCTGGTGCTCTATAAAAGGACAAATTAATGTAGTAACTGTGCTTCAATTATCAAGAAATGAAATAATTTATTTACTTTTTTTTTTTAAGTACACCTATCAAGTAACATATTTCAAAACCCATTTGAGTAAATTAAGTTCCAGGAGGTATTTGTTTTTATTTGAGTGCTTTAAAACCAAGGATATGGGAATATTTCTGAATACATTACCAAACTTTATTCAGAAAACAAAGCTAGCACTGTGTAAATTTTTTCACATTCCTATAAAAAAATATAGAATACTCTAGGCAAATGTTAAGATAGTTTAAAAATAATTTACTTCTCAGTATATTGCAGTGATCTGTTTTATAATCATATCTGATACAGAATCCAGTGAAACTAATGATGGTAAATACCTTTATAACATGAGCAAAATATTGCTTCTAAAGTAGTAAATAAAAATTTCTAAAATATAGACTTTAAATGGAAATCATGTCTATTAGAAAAGGTAAACATTAATATATATATTCCCCCTGAACAAGGGATAATTTGTGAAGGGATTGATTAGTAGAGGAAAAACACATTGGGAAACATTATAACCAACAGATTAATGAGTAAACCATACACAGATTCCCAGAAAATGTTAGGCATTGAGAGGACTTGTTACTAAATATATGCTAGTGATTACCTTAGAAACCCCATTCAACTCAAAACATAGAGCTTATTTATTCCTACTGATATTTTTCTTAGTATTTTGCATATGTGCAAAATTTGCCCAGAGACTAGAGACTATACATTTTCGTCTATAACTACATAGATTATCAGCAAGTTTGTTATTTACAAATATGGTAAGCAACTGTAATTCAGATAGATACAATGTTATCATAGAAATTTCTGATTATTGAGCAGAATGGATTGAAAATATGAATTTAAACATTTATCATATGCCTGGCATTAAGATGGAGAGAATTATTGGGAAATATGATATGTCTATTATTCTCAAGAAGTTTACCCATTTCACTGAAAAAATACACAATACATAAATAAATGTGTCACTTTTAAGTGTCATAGGAGTTCAAAGAAGGAAGGATAGTTAAAGATGATGTTCAGGGAATGTTGGGATTATGTTGCCATGAGAGGAGAATGGGACTTAAATTATCTGTGTTTATAATTTTAAATGAGGAAGAATATAAATTATTTAAAGTGGACAGATAATGTGTTATATGAAAAAAGTACATATTCAATATTATAACAATTTTATATTTTAAAAAGATCAATGACTTTTGCTTTCATGATACAAATCAAGAAAACTAAAGTTTTATAAATCCCTGCCTACTAGGATCAACAAAAATTATGATAGGTAATAGGGTGAGAGAAAAAGAAATATATCAGGATCTCTGGGGTCAACAAAAATTTTGGTTTATCGCAGCTGAGATACAGTGTGAGAGGGATCAAAGTGGATAGGGAGGTACTACCGGCAGAGGTGTTATGTGGGAGAAGTGGGAAAGACCTTGAAATGTTTGGGATAAGATGAAGATTGAAGTGGAAAGGGATTGTAGACGATGGGGAGATAATTGAAAGATAAAGTGCCAAGCTAAAGTGACTGGATTTGATTTGATAGACAAAAAGAGCCATCTTTGATTCTTAAGCATGGGAGTGTTAAGATGAATAAAGTTTAAGAAACTTCGTCTATCTGATATTGATATACAGAATAAAAAAAATGAAGATTGAAAATGGAAAAAAAAAGATAGAAGTAGAAATATGTTAGAAAAATTTGCCATGATGATCTAGGGTTTGGTATAAAGTGAGGTTAAAATATTTTCTTCTGTCCCAAAAAAGAGGAAAATGTATGACTTCATGGAAAAAAAAATAAAATAAAAGATTTATTGATATTTACCTGGCCAGGGAGATACCATGATCACAAATGTGGTTTTCTTATGCTGAGTCTAATCCATTGCACTTCTGAGGTAGTGACCCCTGCAATTTCCCCAGATGCAGGGGACTCAACTGTATAATGTGTGGTAATAGGGAACTGTGTTCATGTTTTTTTCTAATGAAAAAAATAAAAGACTTATTGTAACCATGGCCACTGTCTCAAATTTCCTTCTCCACTGTGTATGCAAACACAGTTTTTATGCACAGTTAGAAGGGCAATTAGTTAGAAAACAAGGTTAACACTTTAGGGTGGGACCCATTTTCAAGGGCTTAGTATACAGGAAGGGGCAAAAGTAGGTTTCTAGTTGTATGTGAAACAATTTATTCATGTATTATTATTTATTAATTATTGTATTTTCCTTACAACAAACAGTAAACCTACTTTTTCCCCACCCTGTATTTCATGCCATGGTATAATTTATCCCTCTGGGTAGGCATTCTTCTTGTATTGCTCTGGAAAAATAGTAATAAAATATAGCAATAAGGTTCAGTTTCTCTTTCCAGTTATGTAGTTATGTATATGATAGTCAGATAAACTCAAGACTGGTTAAACAAAGTGGTTTTGCCCATAAGTAAATAAATGCAAATAAGTTAATGTCTTTTTATTTTATTTTATTTTATTTTTCATCCTCACCTGAGGACATTTTGTCCATTTTTTGTACAGATAGAGTGGGAGGGAGAGAGAGGAAGAGAGAGAGAAAGAGAAACATCGATGTGAAAGGGACCCATCGAGTGGCTGCCACCCGCACGACCAACCAGGGCCGGGGACAAACTGCAACTGAGGTACATGCCCTTAGCGGGAACCGAACCCGGGTCTCTCCAGACCGCAGGCCGACGCTCTAACCGCTGAGCCAAACCAGCCAGGGCTTTTTATTTTTTAATATGTGTGCTTCTTCCAGCATATGGCTTTTGGACTTCTTTGACTGGTAGTTAAGAGTCATACTTCAAAATATCAATTCAAATAGCATTGAATTATCACTTCCCATTTGTGTATTTTCATTTTTTCTCTGTAGCTCTGAAAGTTGTCTAAAAATATGTGTTGCCTGACATCTGAAGAAGTTACCAATTTGTGGAACAAAAATTATCTACTTGAAGGGAGCATAAAGAGAATAGAGAGGTTTTAATGCCTGATCAGCTGTAGTTATTCCCTACAGAGTTAGCATGAGAGAACTAGATAAAAGAACTTAAAAAATATATGATTTCACCCTGGCCGGTTTTGCTCAGCAGTTAGAGCATCGGCCTGTGGTCCAGAGAGACCCGGGTTCAGTTCCCGCTAAGGGCATGTAACTTGGTTGCAGTTTGTCCTTGGCCCTGGTTGGTTGTGTGGGTGGCAACCACTCGATGGGTCCCTTTCATGTCGATGTTTCTCTCTCTCTCTCTTCCTCTCTCTCCCTCCCACTCTATCTGAACAACAACAACAACAAAAATGTCCTCGGATGAGGATTAAAATATATATAAAATTAAAATATATATAAAAATATATTAAAATATATTTAATATCAAACATATATATAATATATATATAATATATATAATATATTTTTTCAATATAAAATATATATATACGATTTCAATATTACTATGTTTCTCCCAGTATTCTTAAAGTCATAACTGTTGTCCCAAATTATTTTTACCTTGGCATGGTAAAATATTATTGTTTTTATAGTATTGTGACATTTATTTTCCTTAAAAAATACATGTGGACCACCACAAGGACTCAACACTATCAGTGTCATTTTTACTGGTGTCAAAAAAAGCTACTGCCAGCTTTGACAAAGAAGATAAGCCTACAAATATAATCATCACTACTGCCCAAGTCACCAGAGAATATGGTAATATTTGGAAGAACTAGACGCAAATTATTTAGTATTTAGTATGCCTTTGTGTTCAATATGCCACTGGCCAGATAAAGTCATTTAAATCTACAGAATGAGCAATTGATTAGAAAACACATACACACATGCAGACAGTTTTAGCTGCCAATGATTTTATTGCATTTGCATAGAGTATCAGCTGGACTCTGCTATTTTGAAGAAAGCAATGAAGAATAAGAAATATAGCAGATAATGAAAGAGGAGGAGCAAAGAAGAGGACGGGAAGTGGGGTTGTAGTATTTACTGATGTCCTTAACAATTTAGCTTCCACACATCTCAGATTAAGATGAACAACAACAAAAAAAGTAGAATTCAACCCTATAGGTATAGTACTTTGTGTGTAATAACTCCTACAATAAGTTTCTAGAATTAACCGCCTGTAACAACTAATAGCTCATATGTAACTCATAGAATGGGAAGTAGGGTGAAGATTGTTTAAATTAAATATTTTTCCAAGGACTTGAGTAAAATAATATAAGGAATAATGCTTAAGGTTTGAGAGCAGTAAGGAGAAAAGGCTCATTATTCTTTGGGCAAAGAAGCCAATACAAGCATTTGGAAAGGTACCAGAGAAAGGGTAAATAAAGATCAGTTCACATAGGCAGGGAATGACATAAACTTTCTGGAGGTTGAGTCATCATCAGAGTGCTAAGGGCAAGATTGTGGGCCTATTTGTGTACCTAGCAATCATCTCTGAATCACAGTAAAGTTGTTCCTTGTTTATTTCTTTTGTCACAAACCCAAAGATAGTTACCACTAAAAGATGGAGGAAAGAGTTAGGCGTGAAATGTTTCCACTTGGGTCTGAAGGGAGGTGGCAAAGAAAATGTCTGAGAGTAAGACAACAGTCCTGTTCTGCACAATTCTAGTGTGTTCGGGGGGGTTGAGGGGTGGGGGAGAAGAATGGCTTGGCACTGGATAGGAGATTTAGATTTTAAACTTAAAAACTAATTCTAAACATCAGAATTAGACTGTTTCAATAACCCAGAATTGAAGAAACATTATAAAATCTGGCTAAAATGCTACTAAAGAAGAAAAAAGATGAAGGGGACTCAATATAGAACAGCTGATGTTTATTTAATTTTTAAATATTTTTTTTATTTAGTAATTTGTTTTTGTTACGGATGTTTCTCATTTTTCCCCCGTTGATACCCTCCTCCCCTTCCACCCACCCCATCCCTAGCTTTGTTGTCACCTACAAATCCCCTCTCTTCTGAGGCTTCTCAGTCTGTACCCCACCTCTAGGTCTCTGGGTTAATTTTTTTCAGCAGTTTGTTTAGTTCATTATATTTCACAAATAAGTGAGATCATGTGATATATGTCTTTCTCTGCTTGGCTTGTTTCGCTTAGCATAATATTCTCCAGGTCCTTCCATGCCATTTCAAAGAATAAGAGATCCTTCTTTCTTACAGCTGCATAGTATTCCATTGTGTACATGTACTACAACTTTTTTATCCATTCATCTATTGATGGACAGTTGGGTTGTTTCCAGATCTTATTTATTGTAAATAGTGCTGCTACAAACATGGGGGTACATATATATTTTCTGATTGGTGTTTCAGGTTTCTTAGGGTATATTCCTAGAATTGGGACCACTGGGTCAAATGGCAGTCCAATTTTTAATTTTTTGAGGTAACACCATATTGTTTTCTATTGTGGTTGCATCAGTCTGCATTCCCACCAGCAGTGTACTAGAGTCCCCTTTTCTCCACACCCTCCCAACACTTGTTGTTTGATGATTTGTTGATGGCGGCCATTCTGACAGGTGTGAGGTGATACCTCATAGTTGTTTTAATTTGCATCTCTCTGATGATTAGTGATGTTGAGCATTTCTTCATATGTCTCTTAGGCATTTGTATGTCCTGTTTGGAGAGGTGTCTATGCAACTCCTGTGCCCATTTTTTAATTGGGTTCTTTGTCTTCTTTTAGTTGAGTTGTATAAGCACTCTATATATTTTGGAAATTATCCCCTTATCTGATGCATCATTGGTGATTATGGTCTCCCATATAGTGGGATCCCTTCTCGTTTTGATGGCTGTTTCTTTTGCTGTGCAGAAGCTTTTGAGTTTGATGTAGTGCCATGTGTTCATTTTTTCCTTTGTTTCTCTTGCCTTAGGTGTTTTATTGGTGAAAATTCTGCTGTGTATGATGTCTGAGATTTTGTTGCCTACATTTTCTTCTAGGATTTTTATGGATTCACGAGTTACATTTAAGTCTTTTATCCATTTTGAGTTTTTTCTCATATATGGTTTAAGTTGGTGTTCTAGCTTCATTTTTTTGCAAGTAGCTGTCCAATTTTCCCAACACCATTTCTTGAAGAGGCTGTGTTGAATCCACTATATGCTCTTGCCACCTTTGTCAAATATTAATTGAGCATATAGTCTTGGGTCAATTTCTGGGTTCTCTATTTAGTTCCATTGATCTATCTGCCTGTTCTTGTGCCAGTGCCAGGCTGTTTTGATTACAGTGGTTTTGTAGTATAACCTGAAATCTGGTAATGTGATCCCTCCTACTTTGTTCTTCTTTTTCAAGATTGCTGTGGCTATTCAGGGCCTTTTTTGGTTCCATTTAAACTTTTGGAGTGTTTGTTCTAGTTCTGTGAAGTATGTCGTTGGTATTTTGATGGGGATTGCATTGAAACTATAGATTGCTTTGGGTAGTATGAACATTTTAATTATGTAAATTCTTCCAATCCATGATGTTTATTTTAAAAGACCGACTTTTTTCATGCTTGTTAAGACTCTTCACTAAACAAGGGCTATGGACTGAATGTTTGTTTTCTGCTAAAATTCAAATGTTGAAATCATAACCCCCTCCAAAGATGATGGTGTACAAAGCTGGGGCATTTGGGAAGTTATTAGGTCATAAGGATCAGTCCTCATGGATAAGATTAGTTCCATTATAAAAGAGATCCCAGAGAGTTCCCTCCCCTCTCTGTCATGTGAAAACACACAGAGAGAAGACAGTTATCTGTAAATCAGGAAGTATGTCCTCACCAGACCCCAAATCTGACCACACATTGATCTTTGACTTGCCACCCTCTAAAACTGTAAGAAATGAATTTAAATGGTTAGCAACATAGTCTATGGTGTTTTGTTAGAGTGGCCTGAACAGACTAAAACAAGAAATATATATTTGCTAGTAAAAAGGGGGAGGTGTGTTAAAATTTCTTTCTTCAATTAGCAACATGACACTCTGCCTTTGATGTCTATTAAATCTTATTTAAAACAGATAAAACTAGACCC